TCTATAACTTTATCTAACATCATAAAACCCTACAGCAACTCAGTATACTCTAAAATTGTAACAAAAACATCACTTTTTAATAAATGAAGTGTGACTTGGCTTTTATATTAACAATGCATATGTTTATTGTAACTTTTGAACGGTTATGCAAATTTAGTGAAATATTTGGCAAATTTGAATAAAATTAAATTATCTATAACTTTATCTAACATCATAAAACCCTACAGCAACTCAGTATACTCTAAAATTGTACCAAAACACATCACTTTTTAATAAATGAAGTGTGACTTGGCTTCTATATTAACAATGCATATGTTTATTGTAACTTTTGAACGGTTTTATGCAAATTTAGTGAAATATTTGGCAAATTTGAATAAAATTAAATTATCTATAACTTTATCTAACATCATAAAACCCTACAGCAACTCAGTATACTCTAAAATTGTACCAAAACACATCACTTTTTAATAAATGAAGTGTGACTTGGCTTCTATATTAACAATGCATATGTTTACTGTAATTTTTGAACGGTTTTATGCAAATTTAGTGAAATATTTGGCAAATTTGAATAAAATCAAATTATCTATAACTTTATCTAACATCATAAAACCCTACAGCAACTCGGTATACTCTAAAATTGTACCAAAACACATCACTTTTTAATAAATGAAGTGTGACTTGGCTTCTATATTAACAATGCATATGTTTATTGTAACTTTTGAACGGTTTATGCAAATTTAGTGAAATATTTGGCAAATTTATACAAAATTAAATTTTGTACAATATTGTCTAACACTATAAAGCCCTACAGCAACTCGGTATTCTTTAAAATCGTACTTAAAACATCACTTTTTACTAAATAAAGTGTGACTTGGTTTTTAAACTAGCTATGCATACGTTTATTGTATCTCTTGTAACTTTTGAACGACTTGTGCAAATTTAGTGAAATATTTGGCAAATTCATATAAAATTAAAGAACCTAAAAAATTGTCTAACATACCAAGTCCCTACAACAACTAGGTATACTCTAAAACCACTCAAAAACCACGCATAATTACTTCATTCCTACTCACCCTCAAACTTCATCTTCAACCCCGTTCTGTCCTCTACCCCACTAGATTTTCGCAATTTTTTTAGCACAAATTATACAATGAATATTCTAATATTTTTTCCAAATTTTGTTTATAATTTTAAACAATTTCTTTTGTGTTAAATTAATTTTTTTATCCGAATGCGACGTCGACGTCTGCGTCCATTTTGCTTCCGAATCACACAATTACGTCATGCAGTCTAGGAGTCGTGCGATAGGGGATTGTGCGATTATTGATTTTATGATATATAAAGAGCTTCTGGGGCTATACAGGGCTTGCAAACCTTTGGTAAAAGACATATAAAAGTGTAAGTAGGTGTGAGTTAAATTTTGCCTTGGGGCAAGTTGCTGCAAATTGCCGAAATGTAGTGAAAAGTGACTTGAAGGGTGGAAAATTGATGCGTTGGTTTGTGTAAGGTTTAGGGGTGTACCGAGTTGCTGTAGGGTGATAAAATGTTAGATAATGTTAAAGATGATTTAATTTTGTACAAATTTGCCGAATATTTCACTAAATTTGCACAAACCGTTCAAAAGTTACAAGAGATACAATAAACCAATGCATGATTAGTATAACATTCATTAAAAACCAAGTGACTTCATGTAGTACAGTTTGATGTTTTCAATTACGATTTTAAAGTATACCGAGTTGCTGTAGGGCTTTATAGTGTTAGACAATATTATTTACTATTTAGTTTTAAACAAATTTGCCAAATATACTATTTATATAAAATTAATAGTTTAAAAGTTACAAGAGAAATATTTAAAATTCTGCAATTGCTATTTTCGAATAATTATTTGGCTGCTATTGTTCATATTTTTATATTTTTAATATATAAAATATATTAGCAATATATATATATATATATATATTATATATACGTAGATTAACAAATTAATTTTTTTTATATGAAAAATTATAAGGTAAATAATTAAGAACTTTTTAAATAAAATTATTATTAATATTAGGTTACCTTAAATTTTGTAAAAATTATAAACAATTAACAAAACTATTAATTAATCGACACATTTATTTAGAAAACAATTATATGAATTTATTATAAAAACATTTTTAATTTGTTTTTCATATAAATATCACATTTTCAATTATATAATGATGCATCATAAATAAATTCATTTACTAAAAATTATTGATCTCAATTACCATTTTAGAGTATGCCGAGTTGCTGTAGGTACTTAATATATTAGACAATATTAAAGATAATTTAATTTTGTACAGATTTTCTAAAAACACCAATTATATTCTACAATGAGTTTAAATATTATAAATTTTTAAACAAAAAACGGTGCATGTCATTAGAGGCTTCAATTAAATTTTGTAATTCAACAATTTTTCGTAAGCCTATAATATTTATTTAATCATTATTTCTATGGTAAATTTAACGCTAAACACACACACACACACATATATATATATCTATATATATATATATACATATATATACTATATTCAAAAAAAATTAAATATCAAATTCAAGTACAAAGATAAAATATTTATGGTAAATAAATTGAAGTAATTAATTTTAAACATTTTATTAGAAATATTATCATCATTATCATTTGTATTTTTTATTATTATATTAATTTTATCCACATTATTTATTTATTATTATTTATATTTTCATTATTATTTTATAATTATTTTATAATTATATTTTGGCGTTAAACATGTTTATATACTGAATTTAAAAAAATGCAATTTAAATATCAAATTCTAGCACGAAGATAAAATATTTATGGTAAATAAATTGAAATAATTAATTTTAAACATTTTATTAGAAATATTATCATTATTATCATTTTATATTCTTTATTATTATATTAATTTTATCCACATCATTTAATATCATTATTTATATTTTTATTATTATTTCTTAATTATTTATATCAATTTTTCAATATTAATTTTAAAATAAATATAATTTGATATTTTTAAAATGATTATTAATTTAATTCACATATTATTGTTATTATTGGTATCTATACTAATACAATTACTATTTTGTTGATATCAATATTATGTTTCTTGACGTTTTAAGTCATTCTGAATAGTTTGGCATCAAAATTTAGAAAATGAATGCTTCATGGTTCTCTCAAACTATTTGTGCATTTGTTTATAAAATCTCTTGTAACTTTTAAACGGTTTGTGCAAATTTAGTAAAATATTTGGCAAAATAATAAACAATATTATTTTACATTATATCACCCTACAATGACTCGGTATACTTTAAAATCGTAATAAAAACCACCTATTTGTATTAAATGAAGAGACTTGGTTTGCAAGCAATTTATGCATTTGTCTGTTATATATTTTGTAACTTTTGAACGATTTATGCAAATTTAGTAAAATATTCGGCGAATTTATTCAAAATTGAATAATTTATAAGATTGTCTAACAATATAATAACCTACAACTCGGTATACACTAAAATCGTAATTAAAATCTTCAATCAATATTGCACGCTTTAGAAACAACTTGGTATATATATAAACAATTTTATCCGTAAATTTATTTGTTATATCTCTTGTAACTTTTAAAGGGTTTGTGAAAATTGAGTGAAATATTCAGCAAATTTGTGCAAAATTAAACAACAAATAAAATTTTCTTATGCAACAATACTCTACAGCAACTCGGTATACTCCGAAATCACTTCTAAAAATTAAAAGTTAATACAACCTTGCTAATAAATCTTTATCATTCATACACAATTTTAATCGTAACTTTTAAAATATTTGTTTTATACAAACAAAATATTCTGCAAATTTGTGCAAAATTAAACAATACACAATATTGTCTAACATCATAAAACCCTACAACAACTCGGTATACCCCAAAACCACACACAAACCTACACACATTTTTTCACCAATAAAGTCAATTTTTCACACAACCCAGAGCAAATTCAAGCAACTTGCCTCAAGGCAAAATTTCACACATAAATCTAATTCCAAAATTCCAAAATCCCAAAAGTTCTACACCCCTGTACAACTTGCCATTTAACATTGTTCTACACCCCTATATGGAATGTCACAACCCTCTTTTACCATCGAAAACACGCGAGCAAAACTCCAACCAAAAATCACATCTGTTCAGTCAGAAATTTTGCAAAATCGAAATAATAACGATAAATAGTTAAATTAATAAATTTGTGAATGAATAAATTAATAAATAAAATTTTTGTGGAAAAAATTGTGTAAAATTTGGGGAAAATCAGGTTGGGACTCGAACCACATGTGAAGTAAAAAATAAACTGAAATTTATAAATAATATTTATAAATATATAAATAAAGTGTGCGCATGATTTGTTGATAACAAAATAATTGCATAATAATTATTTTTTTAATATATATATATATATATATATATATATATATATATATATACAAAGTGTCATGCTGTCATTTTGCTCCAGCTTCAACAGTGTGAAGACATTTTGACATTTGTTATTAAAAAAAATTATTAAAATTATTTATACAGTTGCAAAATTGTTGTAAATTTTTTAAACAATACATAAAGACTTGTATATTAATTTAAAAATATAAACAAAGTGTATGTGTTTGTTGGAAACCCTCAAAAAAATCACCTACAAGTTGAACTAATGTGATCTAAAAATTCATATAGCCAATTTAATTATTAAATTGTTTATAGGCAATCTATTTTATTATTTTATAAATTATTTTATAAATTAATTTATAAACAATCTATATTAATTATTATTGTTATTATTCAATATTTGAGTAGTGTTTGCCTCAAATTTTTATTTGTTTAGAGTTCTTTTATATATTTTTTCCAAAATGTGTTAGCATAAGTGCAAGCCAATTATCAATAAATAACTCGTGTTATTTATTTTTAATTTGTTTATATTTTTAAAGTGTTTTTTTTATTTAAATAATGAAATCTTATGATAGTTCGAGTGATGAATACGATGATGATAATGCTAGGGGTAGTTTACCAGGGCAATTTAATAGGGGTGCCATCTGGCCGTGGAGGATGGAAGCTTCTTCTAGTGGAATGGTAAATAGATAATTATTTTTATTTATATTATTATTTATTTTAATTTTAATTTTATTATATATATATATATATATATATAGAGAGAGAGAGAGAGAGTATCCCAGAACTCAACGTCAAAAAATATATCTTAAATAGTTTGAGGAAGGTATGAGCTTCTAAGTGCAACCTGCTGAAGTTGTAACAATTTTTCGGTTTTTGTGGTTAATTTTTATTAATTTTGTTAATTTAAATTGTGGATTCGTATGGCTAAATATTATTTCCAAGACCTCAGTCCAAAATATTAACACATTTGTCCCAAGTTTTTGAGATTGACGACTTTTTGTTTATCCATGATTTTGGAGTTTTCAAGATCGTCAAACTTTGGGAAGCTGTGGTGTAAAAAAAATGTACTAAAGTGTCTCAGCAAATTGCACCAAAAGTTTGCACATTTAATCAAGATTCTAAAATGGTAAAATACTTGATAGGTGTTAATGCAAAATTTTGAGTAAAACCATAAAAACCGACAATGTGCGTGAGATCAACCTTGAACCTAATCGTGTTGTGTTCAGGTTTTTATTTTTTTACTCAAAATTTTTTTATAAAGACCTACCAAGTATTATACAAATTTACAATCCTGATTAAATGCCTCAAATTTTGACAAAATTTGCCTACACACTTTGGTACATTTTTTTTTAAATGAGGGCTTCTCAAACTTGACCTATTCCGCATCCAGATTTTTCACTCGTGAAAAAGTCAAAGACTATAGTCCACGGATTTGACTAATATACACGTAATTTACTTTTTAATTTTTTTTTCTTGTCGTTGAGTTCTGGGACAACCCAGTAAATTATTCAATCTACTGTAATTTTCCAAAATAAATATATAAAGTGACTGTTATACTCGACTTTTGTTCAATATTAGTGATTACTTTGCATTTTTTAATTTTTTTTCTTGGCGTTGAGTTCTGGGACATTCTGTTTATATTTTATCCTACTGTAATTTAAAAAAAAATAAAATAAAGTGACTTGCCGTATACTTTTTTCTTCAGTATTGGTGGTTAATTTGCTTTCTTTAATTTTTTTTATTGACGTTGAGTTCTGGGACACCCTGCATATATTTTATTCCACTAAAATTTTCCAAAATTATTTAATTTTTTCAATATATTTCATTTTACTGCAATTTTTGAAAATATATATATAAAGTGACTGTTATCTATTTTTTCTGTACAATATTAGTGATTACTTTTTCTTTTAAAAAAATACTTGACGTTGAGTTCTGGGACACCCAATATATATATATATATATATATATGTATTTTATTCTACTGTAATTACTTGGTAGTTTCTTTGCTTTTTTATTTTTTTCTTGGCGTTGAGTTCTGGGACACCCTGTATATATGTCACTTTACTGTAATTTCTCAAAATAAATAAAAACATGTGCCCTTTACTCAGTATTTCTGGTTGTCTTGTTTTTTTATAATTTTTTTTGTACTTTTATGGATTTTTGATGAGTCGAATGAGGGCTCGAAACGTATGCAAGATACAAATATAAATATTTATTAAATAATATTATTATTTAAAGCATTCTACAACCCATGATCAACCGATGATGGCACAACCTCAGCATTCTTCACCACCACTTGGAGGACATTATTCGGGGGCTGCTTTTACCCTAGGTAAAAAAATAAATTATATAATATTATACAATTATATAATATTTACCATAACATGTTTTTATTTATAAAATCGTATTCTACTTGAAAATAGCTTTTAATCGATACCCCACATGCCAAAAATAACTTTTGAAATATTTTGAAGTAAAACTTCTTTAGACTCGCTTGATCGTTTATTGTCTCTAATAACACTCTCTTCGATATTCATTTTCACTCACAAAATACATCTCTAATTAAATTTTTATCTAAATTATTATATATCTTTTTAATTTTTTTTTTTAAATTTTTGTTATTAAAAATTAGGTGACCACATGCACCATACACACCAACTGTCACCCCCAGGGATGAGCCAAGGGCGTAGAACCCCTTTGGGAGCTGTTGGACTTGGAGGGTTTTATTACAGTGCTGGAGTTTCTGGTAAATAGATAAATAAATAAATGAATTTATATATATATATATATATTTATATAAATGTATATATATTTATATATATATATATATATATATATATATATATATATATAAATTCTAAACTAATCTTAAAATATAAATTGTGTTTGTTTCACTTTGTTTTGGAACACTTTATGACAAATTTGGGTATATCTCATGTTTGACTTGTCCGATTTTGATTTTATTGACACCATTTTAAAGACAAAAGCCTAAACTTGACATTTTCTGTAAATTTAATTGACATGCCTAAATTTTTTTAATAAACTTCAGGTTTTTGTAACCCCTAAAAATAATAATCAAAAACCAATCTAAATAAAATTTAAAACATAAGTTGGAAGTGTTTGTTTGAGCTTGTATAGACATTATTAGTTATTTTAAGAACTGTTTTACAAATTTGGGTATATCTCGCTTTAGACTTACTCGATTTTGATTTTTTTGACACCATTCACAAGATAAAAGTATAGTCAAATTTTTTAATGAAATTTTTGTTTTTACGACCCATATCACTAAAAATAATAAACAGAAACCAATCTAAATAAAATTTAAAACATAAGTTGGAAGTGTTAAGACATTATTAGTTATTTTGCAAACTGTTCTACAAATTTGGGTATATCTCGCTTTAGACTTACTCGATTTTGATTTTTTAAACATCATTACCAAGACAAAAGTATAGTCTTAACAGTATTTATAAACATTACTCAAAATTTTGCAAATTTTTTAATAAACTTTAGGTTTTTGCAACCCCTATCTCAGAACTCTTACACTCGCTACATTTTTCAACAATAATCTAAATATCTCCGGATTGCATTATCACATTTTAACTTTTTTGGTGTCATTTGAACCACAAAAGTCTAATCTATATATATTTCCATTACATTTTAGGTTCTGGTTTAGGTAGCAACAGCAATTTAGGTCCAAACAACAGCAACATCGGTCCAAATATTCCTGCACCTGCACAAGTCGCCTCTGATGAAAATAAACCGATGGAACCTGAAGGAGGAAGTAATAGGTGGGACATTTTTTGGTTAAAAATAAAAATATAAAAAACTAGTTGTTGGATGTGAATATAGTGTTAGACAAATTTGTTTAAAATTTAATTATCTAAAAGTTGTACTAATAACAAAATGCTCTACAGCAACTGCATTTGAAACTGACAATATTTATATGAATGATTGAAAATCCAATTATTGTTAGTATTAAACAAATGCACAAACTACAAGAACCATCAACGAATAGTGTGAGAGCTGGTATACCTTAACCATATATCATTTCTCCAGGTCTCAAAATACGAGAGCTGGTCCGTCCAAACAGAACAATCCAAACAATTCCACAAATGCCAATAAATCTAGACAGGGAAAAACTGTAAGACTGAATATTAATGCCAGGGAAAGGCGCAGAATGCACGATTTGAACGATGCCTTAGACGAATTGAGGTAAAAACAATAATAATAATTAATAATTATATATTTTATTTAAAAATATATTTTTTTTTATAGATCTGTGATCCCGTATGCACATTCGCCTTCGGTGCGAAAGTTGAGTAAAATTGCTACTTTGCTCCTAGCCAAAAATTATATACTGATGCAGGCGAATGCCTTGAACGAATTAAGAAGGTAATAAATATAAATATAAATATAAATATAAATATAAATATAAATATAAATAAATATAAATATAAATATAAATATAAATATAAATATAAATATAAATATAAATATAAATATAAATATAAATATAAATATAAATATACATAGATATGAATATATAAATATAAAAATAAAAATACATAAATAATTTTCAAACACAAAATTTAAAAATTTTTGAAGTATAAGGGTGGATTTAAAAAAATTTAAAATAAATTATATATAGTATATAAAAAAGTTTTTCTTTTGCTGCAAACCGTAGCCAAGTGGTTAAATACTCGACTTGTAAATACAAATGTACTCGGATCGAATCCCAGTCTCTTAAAAATTTTTTATATATCCAGACTTCATATTACCTAGTAATGTATGGCATCGTGCCTTAAGGCAAATTGCTGGAACTTCCCGTACCGTAATAAAATATTCGAGAAATTTTAAACGTTTTCAAATATATTATTACAAATACTGTAATTTTCATTATTTTTGCTCTCGTGTTTGTTATATCTGAGTGAGCAAATCAAATGTAAATCATAAATCAATTTATCTCCAGAGCATTAACAATCGTCATTATATTTCGAATTCAATTTCAAAAAAAAAATAGTTGCCCAATTTACAAAAAATCTGCTCCCGTATAGTCACAGTCTAAACGCATTTGCAAATAATTCCGTGCGGCATTTTCACTTATACTGTGCTTAGCTTGGCGGCATTTCCACATTTTTCAATAGTTCTTTTTTACAAAATTAGAAAAGTGCCCCATACATAAACAGTCTAAACGCACTTGGGTAAACATTTGTACCAGAGTGGCCCTTAGACTGTGCTTAGCCTGGGTAATTTTTTGAATTTTTAATCCAAAATTACAAAAATATTTTTTGAAAGAAACAATTAGAAACAAATTTTTTTTTCAAAAGCAATAATTTTGTTGAAACAAGCAGAAAGTTCTTCAGACGCTTAGTTCTCTCAAAAACGGCAATTTTTTTAACATTTAGCTCTGTGTCTCCGAAGCCGTTGGGCTTACCTTTGCCAAAAACGAATAACCACTCTTCTCCGTCATTACGAACTGAATGTTTTTTGGATCATACAAATCGGATGATCCGTTCTCTCAAAAACTCGATTTGTATTTTCTGCACTCTATGCTCCATATCTCCGTAACGGCAGGACCTGCCTTTGCCAAAAACTAATCAGCACATCTCCCTATTAATAGGAATTGAATGTTTTTCAAACCATTCAAAGTGGTTGATTCGTGCGCCCGAAAACGTGGACGAAAAAAATGCGGATATACAAAACACACACACACACATCCATTTTTCCTGAGATATGCCAAAATGTTCAGAAACCTTTAAAACGTCGAGAAATGCAAAAATTTTTATTTTCGATTTTTGGCCCATTACTATAACTACCCTACGGGAAGTTAATATATTAAGATACATTGTAATGTATAATTTTCTTATCTTTTAGGTTATTAGGTTATTTACAAAGCGGTTCGACTGCCGGAGCACCTCCCACCGGCGCCACGAGCGATGCTGCGATCGCCTCGGCAGCAATTCAGCAGCAGCAGCAGCAAATGCTGCAGGGGCTTCCAGGATTGAACTCTGGAGGACCAGTGGGGGTCCCTTGCGATTTGGGGGCTTATCCGGCGGCTGCGAGGCTACAGAGATTACTATCAGGTAAGGAAAAAAATAGATACAGTAGAACTCCAATTAGCCGAACTCCGATCATCCGAACTCCAATTATCCGAACTCCGTCTATCCGAACTCCGTCTATCCGAATCGCCGATTATCCAAATCACTTTCAGAAAAAAAAATTGTCCAAAAAAAGTCTAACAATAAGTGCGCTATTATTCTTCCACCAGCGAAGCCAGTGTAGGCACATTGTTTGTTTTGATTTGACGGAGATGTTTACAAAACAATGATTTTTATTTCTAAACTTGTACATAAGTACATTTTATTCATAGATAAAAGAAGAGTATGATTTTATTTATATTTAAAACATGTGAAAATGTCACGTTTTTTTCATTTAATTCAATAAAAAAAAATAGTGCAATGTCAAAACGTAACTTTTTTTCTCTCCAATGGCAATTTTAAAACAAAACTCCGATTATCCAAATGGGTTCCGGTCCCCATTAATTCGGATAATTGGAGTTCTACTGTATATATTTATATGTATATATTTATATATACATATATATATACATATATATATATATATATATATATATATATATATATACATAATGGATAAAAGTGTGTTTGTATGTTTATTTAGATTTTATTTTTTAAGGTTCAGGAGTTACAGGAATGGGAGCGAGTGATCAAATTCAAGGAGCAGGTGATGACGAAAATTAGCAGGAGTAATTATTTTTTCATTTATATATTATATATATATGTATATATATGTATATACATGTGCATATATATATAAATATATATATATATATATATATACATAAACAACTCAATTAGTTTATTTTCTAAAAATTGTGCCAAATACCCCAAAAAGTGTTTAAAGAATAATGTCTAGTCATATATATATATATATATATATATATATATATATATATATATATATATATAAATCTACCAGTTTTGTATGTGATAATTTCTAAGTCCTAGATTAGCAACAAATTTATATGAATTTTGTGTAAAAGCAATAAAATTTAAGTATGATTTATTAGTATAAATAGTTTAGAATGTAATTTGTAGTTGTATGGTTTAATACACGATTAAATAATTAATCAATTATAATTATTAACTTCCCGTAGGGTAAGTTATTGTAATGGTACGACAATCGAAAATGAAAATTTTTGCATTTCTCGACGTTTTAAAGGTTTCTGAACATTTTGGCATATCTCAGAAAAAATGGATGTGTGTGTGTGTATGTATGTATGGATACAAATTTCCAGTCACGTTTTCAGGCGCACGGATCAACCGATTTGAATGGTTTAAAAAACATTCGATTCTTATTGATAGGGAGATGTGCTGATTAGTTTTTGGCAAAGGCATGTCCAGCAGTTACGGAGATAAAGAGCAAAGAGTGCAGAAAATAGTAATCGAGATTTTGAGAGAATGGAGCATCCGATTTGAATGATCTAAAAAACATTCAATTAGTAATGATTGGGAGAAGTGTTTATTCGTTTTTGGCAGAGGCAGGCTCATTTCGGAGATACAGAGCTAAAGGTGCAAAAAATGGCAGTTTTTGAGAGATCTAAGCGTCCGATTTGAATGATTCTGCTTTTTTTAATAAAATAATAGATTTTGGAAATTATATATATATAATTCTTATAAATATTAGACAATGTTACAATATTTATAATAATCTATTTGAAAACATTCAGTATTCCTCGAACATTTCGTTACGGTACGGGTAGTTCCAGCAATTTGCCTTAAGGCACGATGCCATACACCCCACTAGTTTCAATAATTAGTTTATGTACTTATTATTATCCACATGATTATTTTATATTCATTATAAAGTTACTGATATTTTGAATAATTGAGTTGAGTTTAATTCCAATTCGATTCATACAAGAACAGTGCGAGAAATTTTCCATTAAAAATCCATATCACCCCCCGAAGAGATTCATATAGATTCATCCCCCTGATAGATTGTTCTGTTTATAGTGTAGTTTTCTATTAGTGAATAAGTAAAATAGAAAGAAAACTATGCTAAACTAAACTGCTGCTAAAATGTCGATACTAAAAACTATGTTACCAGTCTATATAAATATATGTTCTATGCTCTATGCTTAATTTTTGCTGTGAATATTTTTAAAAATAAATCAACAGTCAGTTCTGTCTGAGACTTAGTTGAACAAGTGTCTTTATCATAATAATAATTGTCCATGTTATATATTTAAATAGATTTAAAGTTAAAGTGTGTTTTGTGTGAAAATATGTTCTAGGTAAGTACCAAACAAATGTTTTATATTTTACTTTTAAGGCAAAGTGGTTTATATTTATTTATTTATAAACATTTTGGCAAACTGTTGGGCGTAATTCTGAACAAATATTTGTTTCAACACATTATGATATTGATTCAGGTCCAAAACAATGATTAATACATGAATTTGTTGCATTAAACGTCAAAATTGAGTTATATTGTTTAAGCTTAAACATTAAACAAATGACAAACGTCAAAATTGACAGTTGTTTTTAGGTTAAAAATGTCTGTTGTGACAGGTGTGATGAGATGTGTTTTCAAATACGTGAATAGATATCTTTAAAATAATCAAGTAGAACATGTCAGATTTAGTTCATTTTTTCTTACTTTTTCAAAACGAAGAGGAATATACTTTGTTTCATTGTTCAAACAAATGATGTGTTTTTTATACAAGAAAATACGTTTTTGAATGTTTTCTTTGAAAACAAATATTCGTTTATTAATTGTCGTGAATAATATTTATTAAATGTGCAGTTGTTATAAATAATTCAATATTTACATCATAAAAATGGGTCAAAATACATAAATGCTCTTTTTAAGTAATTGTTTTTCTTTTGAATCACAAGTGCTATTATTAATTAAATTGATTAATTAATTTAATTGATAAAATAAAAATTATTTGTTTGTGTAAGATATTAATGAAATATTTAAGAAATTTGCATTAAATTAAATTACCAACAATTTTTTTAAATATTTGAATACTTTAAAATATCATTCAAAAGCAGAATAATGATTTTAGAGAGCCAACAGTACATTTATGTTTTAATTATAAACCATATTGAATTTATGGACTAATTTATTTATTTTATTTGACTATCCACGGATTTTATCAAACACATTTTACTCAACTTGAAAAACTTTTGCAATCAATAAGCGAGTTTGGGCATTTTTTTTACATTTTGCCAAATATTTTGGAAATTTTATTCGGGACACTTTAATTTGTTTATTTCAGTATAAACTAGATACAATTTACTATCAAATAGTATCAATTGTTTTATATACTTGTATATCAAATTTTTAATAATTTTCAGTTGAAACGTAAATTTAAACGTAATATGTAGATTTGGGACTTTTTTTTACTTTTCTTCAAATAACTTTTAATTTTCTTTTCGGGCACGTTAATTTGTTTACATTAGTAAAAACTATATCAAATTTACTAGAATTTAGTACAAACTAGTACATATAATTGGATACTAAAATTTCGTATAATTTTTAACTGGAACGCGAATTTGTGTTGTGTACATTTTATCAAACAACTTTAAAATTTTGTTTTAGGCATTTTAATTTATTTATATAAGTAAAAAATAGATAAAATTTAGATTTATAATTACTAAACCATATTAAAACCAAAGACTATTCATGCATTTTTTAAACACATTCTACTCAATTTGAAAATGATACCAAACTATTTGATTATAATAAATGATGTATTTTAAAAATGAATTTGAAGTTGAATCTATGGACTACTATCCACGCATTTTTCAAACTTTGGAAATGATATAAAGTTATTCGATTAATATAAATGGGTTGAGTTCAATTTATATTATTATTCGGTTGTACTTATACATATTTATTGTTAGTAGTACAGTATTAAGTAACATATAATCCTATTTTAGATGTATATCTTTAGATTATAAATAAATTTGTAATAAGATAAATATAGATAAATTTCGATTCTTATTACAGGTGCCTAGTATGACTCATAAGGATGCCTTTAAGGAACCTCACAACCTGGGTCTCCCCTATAGTAGAAGGAAAATATAATTAACAACTAATTGGACAAAGTCTTTTTGATGAAAAGGACGAAATTATCCTGTTTGATGAGCTTTCAGGGCGTGTACAAACAAAAACTTTGGTTGCAACATCGCAATTTTAGCAAAAAAAAATGGATTTGTTTTCGCAATTTTCAAAATGTTTTGACTGATTCCAAAAATTTTGGGACGCTGATTTCAAAAATGTTATCCGTTTTTGGATAAATCCACATACGCCCCGCAAAAATCAAAAACTTTGGTTGCAAAATCGAGTTTTTTGTAAAAAAAATCGGCTTTTTTTCGCTATTTTCAAAATGTTTTGATTGGTTTTGATTGATTTTGAATCGCTGAATTCGAAAATGTTATCCGTTTTTGGATAAATCCACATACCGCTGCGAAAAATCGAAATCATTGGTAGCAAAACCAAAATTTTACTAATGAAATTAAATTTTTTTTTCGTGATTTTCAAAATGTTTTGACCGATTCTGATAGTTTTCGAGGCGCTGATTCCGAATATGAAATCAGTTTTTGGAAAAAAAAATTCTTCTGCCCTTGGTACCAAATTGAAGTTTGAAAAATTGCCAACTTTGAAGCTGATTTTAACTATGAAGGCGATGATAAATTTGTATTTTTTTTGGTTTGGTATAAAGATTGTACTTTAGTCTACACAATGCATTCATTAAAATTATCAATTTCAATCATTAAGGGCCTTAAAATTGCATTTGAAAGTCACGATTTTGGCCAATTTTGGCTGCTCCTGATAGACTGTCTTTTTAACGAAAAAACAATAAGATTTTTAAATTACACCAAAGTAGGTTTGGTTTACTGCTAACCAGGCGTAAATTTGAATTTATTAAAAATTATCCTACTTTTTCTTATCTTTTATATATATATATATATATATATATATATATATACACGCGTATATATATATGCGTATATATATATATATATGCGTATATATATTTATTTATATATATATATATATATATATTATGTCGATTTTTGTAATACTGACACTCAATAAATTTAATTCTATCTATATGTCTTATTTATTTACACAGTTTGAAAAATTATTGGTTCCAAATATTTTTTTCAGTCAAATGGGGTTCGAACTGGTGAAGCTCGAATTAATAGTCTGGCCTAAACCGTATCTTTACGACCTCGGCCATTCGCACATTTGGCATACCACATTTTTAGGAAACTTATATCTTTCAGTTTGAAAATAACACTTTATATTTTTACAAAAGACAACGGTTTCGTAAAACCAATTGGCCGAGATCGTTAAGTTGCCACTACGGTTGCTCATTGTTTCTCGGTTCAAATCCCCAAGATGCTTCAAAATTCGAATGAATAGTTTTTCATAAATATCAAATATTAGTTCAAAATATTAAATTCAGGTGTCGCATTTCGACCTTGACACTTAGAATATTTCTGAAAAATTCAAGGTTCGCACTTGACTGTAAGAGAGATACATAAAGAGAAAAAAAAAAAAGGTAGAGGAAATAACTGGGGAAAGAGAGGGGTAGAGGCGGATGATGAATAAGAGAGATGTGTATGATACATATTCTTTATTAAAATTCAATATTAATATAATATAGGAATAAAAATAACTTTTATCATCAATAACTTAAATAGCCGAGCGGTTTAAGTGACCGCATACTCGGTGAAATAACTCTGGAGGCACAAGGTGAAGTGGATCGAATCCGGCTGAAGGCGACGACAAGGAACTCTGAAGCAGAAAAAATGGAGCAGTGCTGGTGAACGGCTGTTGGCGAGCGCAAAGGGTCCTGAAACGAACACACCAAGTGATGGTCAACCAGAGGTCCATGATGCGAGAGGTTACACGCAGAGAGACACATTGCGGAAGATGCATGCCGAACCCAGAAATCTACCCAAAAACCACAACATGCGAAAAAAACAACACCAAAAAAGGAAAAAAATGTGAAAAAAAGCGGAAAAATGGGAAAAAAAGGGGAAAGAGGAGGAGGAGGAGGAAGGGGAGGGGAAGGACCTAAAAAAAACCCCCTTAAGTCCCAGGTCAATTTTTCTCTTTTCTGTTCAGCGTTGAAACTTTTTTATGTTTTTTAGTGTTCCCTCACACCAATTCCCAAAGTCAACACTCGAATGAAATCAAGTCCACGTTGAAATTTTCACAACGAGAAAAAATTACTGGGACTTAGTTAAAATATTTAACTTTGCCCCAATAAAATTTTCTCGTTGTGAAATATTCAATGTGAGCCTCACTCATTCGAATGTTGGCTTTGGGATGATATAGCATGCAAAAATAACTCGTCTGTCTTAATCGAAAAGGTTTCAGAAAATTTGGACTTAGAAAAAAAAATTATCTGAAAGAACTTAGAAAAAAAAATTATTCGAAAGAATTATAATCAAAAAATTTGGACTTAGAAAAAAAAATTATTCGTGAGAATTATTTAATTAATCGATGAAATGAAATGATATTAATCGAATCAAAATTGTTTATACGACTTGATAAAACACGTGAAACCTTTACAATTAATCGAGACAAAAACAAATTTAGTTGACTTGAATAATATACAAATTATTAGAAAAAGCCACAAAAGAAATTCAATAAAACTTGTAAAATGAAATAATGAAAAATTGAACATATTTCAACAAATTGAAAAATTCGAAAAGTTGAACATTAAAAACTTCAAAACTGTTTAAAGCTGATTGTTATTCTTTAGAAATCGAGTTAAATAATTTTTACAACTTCAATCGAATAATAAACTTGTAAACAAAATTATATTTTGTCTAATCATTCAAGTCAACTCTTCGAAACTTTGATTGCAAGTCTTGATCAGAATTGTTTTTAGCAACAAAAGAATAAAAATTTATCATTTAGCTATGCAGCAATACAATTGAATAAATTTAGAATAAAACTACAGTTAAAAGTTTTAAAAGCTGCATTTGATTAACAATTTGGTAAGTCGTATTAAATATTTGAAATAATTTGATCAAAACCAACAATCGTGTTATTCAATAAATAAATATGTACATGCAGTCAATATCGCTACAGGGAAAACACATGATTCTTGATACTGGAAATGTAATTTTAAACATTGCTTCCAAAGAATAATGAACAAAAAGTGTCACAAAAAAGAGAATTTGTAACAAACTACATTAGTAATTTGTAATAAAATACCATCAATTTAGGAGTTACCTAAGGAAGGATGCTAAGACCTTTTCAACAAATAAGTAATCAATGCTTACAAAAAGATGTATTGGTTAACTAATAATTTGGTAACAAAAATTTAATATATAAGAATTTTGAATTCTACATAATATCAGCTCATAGTGTTGTTATAGAACAAAAGAATTTCTGGTGGAATATTATTATGGAATTGTAATAATATAAATTACTTTCAATGTCTTTGATACATACGAGAAGTACAAACTTTTATCTTTTATATTGATTTAAAACATTCCTAAATTTTAATTCATAAGTAAATTAAAAAAACTGAATCAACATGTTTTCCCCATAACAAATTAAATATGAACATAGTCTTTTACACATATGTCTGCCTAATTAACTTATAATCTTTTATTAGCTTATTTTATATTAGTTGTAGTTGAATAAACAAAGAATATATTGTATATTTTATGCATTAAAAATTAATAAAGTATATCTTATTAAAGAAAATGATATTGACTCAAATATTATAGAATAAACAATATTTTCAGCAGATATATGTATACAACTATATTAATAATGCACGAGCCAGAAAATATTTCACTAAAATATATACAGACTGCTTTATAAATGATATCGGATACGAAAGGCACAAGTTCTCAAAGCATCTTTGAATTAATTTCATTTAATATGAAAAACAAGCATTAAATACATAACTATATAAGAAATATTATTATTACAAGCACAAAAGTAGTATAATAAAAAAACTCGGTCATTAATTGTAAACCTCTTTCGGAAAATAAATTATGATTAATATCTTTTTATTTATTTCTATTCAAATTATAGTTTCACTAAAGATGAATTAATATATTGTATTGAAGTAAAAATTTTCAAAATTATTTGACTGCTTTAAATTCAAAAATAAGAAAAACTTAATGTATATATACTGCATATGTAGTACTTTATTTCAAATATTCAATATTTAATTCTTATGTGATAAAATTGTTCTTGGGCATCCATCCAGTAATTAGAAACAGTTTTATTGAAAGAAAATGTTTTTATTATGAAAACATATGTTTCGGGTCTTGATTTTACCCATCTGCAGTGCTACAATTAAATATTTCAGGGTTACAATTTAAAACAATATAAAAAATACATAATTACAGAAAAATATAAATAAAAACATGAAAAAAAGCATAAATCTAATCATGTTAATAAATTAAACAAATAAAAACATTTTCTTTCATTAAAACTGTTTTTAATTACTGGATGGATGCCCAAGAACAATTTTATCATAATATTTCACCATCTGAAGAAAAACCTCTCGCTTTATAAGAATTAAATATTGAATATTTAAAATAAAGCATATCAGATGTAGTATAATAAATGCCTGTATATATCAGAAATATATTCTTTGACTCGCTTTGTATAAAACATGCTTTGCACTTACATTGTTCGATATCCTCTATAGCAGCTCCCAGAACAGAAGCCAGAAATCTCAAGTACTCGACACAAAATCACTACTTTAGAACCACTACATAACTTTGTTCGTTACATGTCTCTTCGACTTATTGCAACTATCCGAGTAAAGTCTTTACACAATACACGACGCACGACTTACATTAGAGACTTTCGTGAATTTAGAATCCGATAATAAAGAGATATGTGTTGGAAGTACTCAAATATAAATTATACATTTTACAATTGCATATATATAAATAAAGGATACATTGGCGCTGTAAATGAATTAATAACATACAAAAGCACATATATAAACTATACATTTCACAATTACATGTATATGATTAAAGGATACTTTGGCGCTGTAAATGAATTGTTTACTTATAAAATTGACTCAAAATGGAGGCCCTGAAAGAGATACTTATCAAACTATTCAAGGTACTTCCACACACATACACTTTTTGGATTTTAATTAACGTTTCACGATAAATTTATTATATCAAAATGATCTACTAAATTAATTACACGTTTTGATGCATAAATTAATTAAAACTAATCAAGGATTTAATTAAAAAAACGTTAATTAACTCGACCGCATGTTAATTCACGAAATCTGTTTGACAATTGAACAACTTGAAGTTATCAACATGTGTTAAAATGGCTGTCGTCACTTGTACAACTTAAAGCGCGAAATTCAAATTTGAAATTTAAACTTTGTGAAATTCAGCAAATAAATATAAGTAAATAAAAAAATTAACGCTTGATTTGGTAAAAGTACGTGCTTGTTATATATGAACAAATTTTTGGCCTTTTGTCAACGTTTTCTCAAAAACGGCTGAAACAGTTTCAACAATTCAAAAACTATTAGTTTTGTACGAAGATCAGCCAAACCGTTTCTTTATAATAAGAAAAAGTGTAATTTTTTATAACTACGTTTACGTAAAAAATCTTAAACGGTTTTAAAAATTCAAATCGTATTAATTATTAGCAAATTGTTAAATTTTATATATATATGTAAATTACATCGCATAGTTAATTTAATAAATATACCAGATGTAAGTGGAATTTTGCCTTAAGATAAGTTGCATGATATGTGTAAACGGTGTTATACACTCCGCTATAAAAGTTTTGGTTAAAATGACTTTGAAATCGATTTTTTGATAAATGCAATAGAAAATTATGGGGGACATTTTTCTACATTTCTTTGAATAACTCAAAAACTTTATACCGGGCACTCTAATTTTATTAGCTTAGCAGAAACTAGATAAAATTTACAACAAATTTGTGTAAACAGTTATATACACACAGATATAAAATTGTTGGATTAAATGACTTTGAAATCGATTTTTTGAAAAATGCAATAGAAAACTGTCAAAACATGGCGACTGCCAAAACTGTCAAAGAAATGTCAAAACTGTCAATGAAACAAATGTCAAAACATGGAAATTAAGTTCAAAAATGCTAGGAATAGCAATTAATGCTTAAAATATACACACTTAGTATTGATTAATATAAAATTTAAATTTTATTGCAGTTAATACTCACATTATAATCCCAAAAGTCTACAAAACTTGGAGTACTTATAAATCACTAATAAATTAATATACTGGTTAAATCGATTATTTACACATATTATGCAACTTGTCTTAAAGCAAAATAACACTTGACTTAATTATAATTAATAAATTAACTAGTAATTTACATTTATTTGTAATAATTTAAACAAAACAAGTACTGAAAACTATCAAACATGGCGACTGTCAGAACTGTCAAAAATTAAATTAAATAAAATGTCAAAATATGCAATTTATACTTAAAAATGCAAAGAATAGCACTTAATGCTTAAAATATACATATTAATTATTAACTAAGATAAAATTTAAATTACTCACATTATAATCACACAACTCTATACAAACTTTGAATACTTATAAATCACTCGCAATAACACTTGCACCATAATTATAATTAATGAATTAACTAGTCGTAATTTTAATGTATTTTATATTTTTTAACAATTTTTTAATAATTACACATCTACTCTCTTAGATAAATGAACATAAACTGTCAAAACGTGGCGACTGGCAACAAATGTCAAAACTTTGAGGTTATGTTAGCAACTTATACTTATAATATATAAAATAACTATTAATTAGTATAACATTTATGTTTTATTACATTTATTTGTGTTTAAAAATGCATTAAATAATATTTTTCAATGGATTACGATTTCCAAGACTTCTGTTCAGCTGCCATTCAGCAAACCAATAACCATAAACAACAATGTAATAAACTGGTCTAAAACCAACAAAATAAGTGTACTACAAAAAGACACAATAGTGATCCTAGGACTACAACTAAACATACAACAAATAGTCCCTAAAACAAGCTACGAACGATTCTACATCAGAATCAACCAAGAATACCCAACCGAACAAACTGGTATTGACATAACTGCATTTTTCTACCAGCTGGAAAAACTTGCAGTATACAATATGGTTTATGATCCAATACTTGCTCCCAGGTTAAATAGAAGTAAACATATCCAACCAGAATATATTTTAGCGTCCTGGTCTTGTCCACAACTAGTGACAAATCATACTTGTGCCTTGGCGACTTTGACAAATTTAGGGTTTGTTGAAATATACATACACCATTTGCATAAATTTTATGCAATCGGTAGTATAAACCAGTTCTGGTTGGATGATATTAAACCAAAATGGAATCATCCAGCGACTAATATGACCGGGTCATATGAAGCACACAAACAACGTGCTTTCGAATTGCATGTATCTACACTTGTCTGGAGCCCTTACAGAGACGGATATTGTTATTTAGTAACAGGGCATACGAGTGGTCATATTGCTGTTTGGAAAATTGAGCAAATTGATTATGAACATCCTAATTTTATACCCGAGTTGCAATTTAAATTCAAACATTTTGATTTATGTGTATCAACATTGTATTGGTATAAGGATTACCTTTTTATGGGTTATACGAATGGCAAAGTTTTTGTGAGTGGGATAAAGGATGAAGTGGAAGAACCAAAAACTATTTGGGGGGATGAAGATAATATTAAGATTAAGGGTTTTAAAATGGCTCGCTTTGAAGATCGTTTGGCATTGGTTATTGTGAAAGGGAGTTTCTTCATAGCAGTTTTGTTAGATAAAGAATTAGGGGTTTTGCATACTGTACATACTAGTGTTGTGCCTTATATTACAGGTAAAGAAATACAGATTTATTATGTATATATATATATATATATAAATATATATTTAGGGTGGTCCTTAATATGGATGCTTTCGAATTTCTTTGCTTCCAGGGACTCAAATGCTTCCAAATTGATAAAAAAATCCCTGGAAGTTTTAGCTCTTAATATTGAATTATATATATAGATATATATATATATATATATATATATATATAACTTCAATAGATAAGTCCTGGATTTTTTCAATATATTGATTGTTTCTTTTCCGAACTGTAAATCCAATAATAAAAAACAATTTGTTTTTTGAAGATGTTTAATAACGACGTTTCGGAACTAGATACGTTCCATCATCAGGTTTATTCTGTCAAAGAAAATGTTTTTTTTTTAAACTATTGACTAACATTAATTAATGTTGGATATTATAGATTATTCAGAAAAATTATAATTGTTTGACAGAATAAACCTGATGATGGAACGTACCTAGTTCCGAAACGTCGTTATTAAACATCTTCAAAAAACAAATTGTTTTTTATTATTGGATTTACTGTTCGAAAAAGAAACAATATATATTATTATTATTTATATTATATTATTTATATTATATTATTTATATTATTATATATATTGTTAACATAAAAAACATTTCTGGAAAATTTTTAGAATAAAAAGTAACAAGCAGATAGTAGGTTTTTCACCCCTAACACTTACTTTTAATTTTGGGTCCAATTTTGTTTTAATTACCGGGCCTGCTAGTATATATATATAAAAGTGCGGGCTATCCAAATGTTAGTATTAAGAGCTTAAATTTTTAGAGATTTTTTTTTATTAATTTGGAAGCATTTGAGCCCTTGGGAGCAAAGAAATTCAAAAATGTCCATATTAAGGACCACCCTAATATATATTATATTATATTATATATATATATATATATATATATATATATAATATAATATATATATATATACTTTGTTCAGCCATAAAAATATTTCTAGGGAATTTTTAGTACAAAAAGTGACAAGCAGATAGTAGTTTGTTCACCCCTAACACTTTCTTTAATTTTGTTACCAATTTTCTTTTATATATCGGGTCTGCTAGTATATGTATATATATATATATATATATATATATATATATATATATTTATACTTTGTTCAGCCAGAAATTTCTGGGAAACTTTTAGTCAGTGGCGTTGTGCTAATATTTTTTTTTTACCGGAACGCTAAAATTAAAAAACCGGTTCAAAAAGCGGTTCTCTTGTTTGTACCGGTTCCGTTCGAAAAGAAAAAAAAAACTAGCTGTAAGTGGAATTCTGTCTTGAGGCAATTATGGCATCGTGCCTTAAGGCAAATTGCTGGAACTTCCCGTACCGTAACGAAATGTTCGAGGAATACTGAATGTTTTCAAATAGATTATTATAAATATTGTAACATTGTCTAATATTTATAAGAATTATATAAACTGAATTGCAGAGTTGAAATTATTTGTAAAGTATATTACAACTATAGTCAGAATTAAAAATAAAATCTGAAATATTTTCGATATACAAAAAAAAAAAAAAAAAAAAAAAAAAAAAAAAAAAAAGAAAAAAAAATGGAACAAAATTTTTTTTCCAAAATCAATTATTTTGTTAAGACAAGCAGAAAGTTCTTTGAATCATTTAAATCGGACGCTTAGTTCTCTCAAAAACTGCCATTTTTTACATATTTAGCTCCGTATCTTCGAAATGGCAGGACCTGCCTTTGCCAAAAACTAATCACCACTTCTCCCAATCATTACTAATTGAATGTTTTTTAGATCATTCAAATCGGATACTCCGCTCTCTCAAAAACTCGATTTCTATTTTCTGCACTCTTTGCTCCGTATCTCCGAAACGGCTGGACCTGCCTTTGCCAAAAACTAATCAGCTCTTTTCCCTATCAATAGGAATCGAATGTTTTTTGAACCATTCAAATCGGTTGATCCGTGCGCCCTGAAACGTGACTGGAAATTTGTATCCATACATACATACACACACACACACACACACACACACACACACACATCCATTTTTTCTGAGGTATGCCAAAACGTTCAGAAACCTTCAAAACGTCGAGAAATGTAAAAATTTTCAATTCCGATTTTCGGCCCATTACAATAACTTACCCTACGGGAAGTTAACAAAAATATTACCTAGTTTTCGCATATATTAGGTTGTCAAATATCTCCCTTCCGCCTTTTTGTATTATAAACCAATATCAAAAAAGCGGAAGGGAGATATTTGACAACCTAATATATGTATGTTTATCACATATAATAGGAACATTTAATAAAAATTAGTTAAATTATAAATTATAAATTATAAAATTCACTTATAAAATCATTTTCTGTGTGTAGTGAATTTTTTTTTAATTTCTTTTCATTTAGCCCTTAGGAGCAAAGAAATTCGAAAATATCCATATTAAGGACCACCCTGATGTGTATATTATTTTTTTCCAGGTATAAAGCGTATCACAGACCAAGAATTTGTAGTATCTTCGGTATCAGGAGCCCTAACCAACATACAACTATCCCTTAACCCAGAAAACAAATTACAGCTGGATCGCCAAAACCTAACAATCCCTCAAGACTCCAACTTTGGCACCTTCGGCATAACCTGCTCGAAATCCAGATCGATTTGGGCCTTTTTCCAAAGCCCTTTAAAAGTCTACGACCATCTTGTGTTAAAACAACCTTCGTCCATGAAATTCTACTCTTGTAAAAGATTTAATCCTATCGATACTTTGAAGAATAATCCTGAGAGAAGACTTGCAGATGTTTGGGAATGTATGGACTATGTTAGGCTTAAAGTTATTAAGCAGAAATCACTACTGGAATGGCCTTGCTATTCCAAAACGCTTCCGATTTACGAAAAAAAGATTTTATACTGGTTGTCGTCGGAGTTGGACAATGTTGTAAAGAGACAAGCCAGGCCTGTTCCTTTTGATATAACTTTTACCAAAAAGCTATTCGATCAAATCATGGCTGAACATGTTCTCAAAATGTTTGAAGGACTTTACAACAAGTTTTGTGAAGACAAAGAGTTGAGTGTTTTGGATTTGAGGATTTTACGAAATTATAGAGACTTTTTTAAACAGTATACTGATCCTGAAAATATAGACCATGTCGGAGAGGAGCTGTATGTGAAATTGAATGAAAGTTATGAAAAATCGACGGCAATTCAAGTCGATTTACCGCTGGAGAAATGTGGATGGTGCGAAGAAAATATCCTTTCTAATAAAAAAAATATTAAAGTCGTAATAAGAAAATATACAAAAACTGAAATTTTTGAATAGTATTTTTTCCAAAAACCGGTTTCGATTTTTAGTAGAAAAACTATTAACTCAAGCAATTCAAAACAAAATTTCAATAGATTTGATATGAATTTAGAAAAGCGGTTTTCAAATACTATTTTTCCTGAAAACCCGGTTTCGAGATTTCACAGATAAAGAATCGAGCCTGTAAATTTTTTTTTTGCTAAATATCGACATTTTAGAAAACCGGTTTCCGAATGGTATTTTTCCCAGGAACCGGTTTCGAGTTTCCATAGAAAAACAGTATGATTAAACAAAAAAAACAAATCAAACAAAAATTTTAACAGATTTCACGTGATTTTAGAAAAAAATCGGTTTTCAAATACTACTTTACCTAAAAAACCGGTTACGAGTTTTTACAGATAAAGAATCGGGTCTGTAATTTTTTTTTCCAAAAATCGAAATTTTAGAAAATCGATTTTCGAATTGTGTTTTTTCCAAGAACAGATTTCAATTTTACGTAGAAAATCTATTGCTAGAATACAAACAAAGAATTTTTACAGAAATTTCAAAGAATTAAAAAAGTTTTGAGAAAAAAAGTATTGAATTTTTAAATATTTTTCCGAAAACCGGTTTAGAGTTTACGTAGAAATTCTCAAACTTTCTATTTCTATTTTCTTCTGAAAAGAAAAATTCGAATTCAAACAAAATTTTGAGTGATTATAAAAAAAACGGGGTTCGAATACCATTTCTCAAAACAAAAAAAACGTTTTTACAGATAGAATCGAATGTGAAAATAAGTTCTAAAAAAAGTCTAAAAGCAAAATTTTAGAAAACCGGTTTTCGAATTTCCCAAAAATCGATTTCGAGTTTTTACAGATAGAATCGAGTGTGGAAAAAAAGTTCTAAAAAAAGTGTAAAAGCAAAATTTTAGAAAACCGGTTTTCGAATTTCCCTAAAGCCGGTTTCGAGTTTTCATAGAAAACCCATTTTCTCGAATAATTCAATCAAAAAATTATAACAGAGAAATAAAAGTGATTAAAACAGTTCTGAAAGTTTAGAAAACCGGTTTTCGAACAGTATTTTTTACAAAAACCGGTTTCGAATTGTCGTAGAAAATCTATTTACTCGTGAAAATACTATTTTAATTTGAAAACCCGAATAATTCAAACAAAAAAACACAAAATTTCGAGCGATTAAAAAAGTTTTGACGAAAACCGACATTTTAGGTTTCTAACCGGTATTTTTCACAGAAGTCTGGTTTAAACCGATTCCGGGCATGGACAGAAAAATTTCGAGTAAAAAAGTCTTGACGAAAAATAGACATTTTAGCCCGGTTTGAGTTTTCACAATTCAGACAAAAAAAACTTCAATAGAAAATTTCTGATAAAAATCGACACCAGAAAACAAGTTTTCAAACTGGTTTTAACCGGTTTGGTGTTTACATAAAAATATTACAAAACATAGAAATTTTTACCAAATTTCGAGTGATTATTAAAGTTTACAGAAAATTATTCACTATATTCAATTTTATTGATATTTTTTATGCAATTTTGTAAAACAAAAAAAAAGCTAATTGACCGGAAACAAGTAAGTTTAAAAACAATTACTACATGTCTCATTTCAAGTTTTTTTAAGTAGAGCATTTTTAAGTAAAGCTTCTTTAGGCGCGCTATAAAACTGACAATAGGGCTGAAGTTGGTTACGCCTAATTTCCGTAAACATCTAAAAATGTCGCCTTAATTTTCGTACTCAGAATTGCTATATAATTATCACAATAATAATTACAATCGTAAATATTTTCAAAGGCAACAAAAATATCCCAAAGTAGCAATACAGACAAAAAAATGTATTTATTGTTGGTCATTTACTCTATTTACCTTAACTCTTCAAACACATCTAGTAGACCTGAAATGTCCGAATAAGCACCTCTTCAGCTCCTGCATGATAACGCTGCTGCCCACACCAGAAATGGAACATCTGATGTGTCCGGTTTGTGAAAAAATTGCCAGGATTGAACTGATGAGTACGGAACCTTTCTGTGTATTCTGTGATGTTAAACTGATAAAACAATCGTACATAGAAGAAGAAAAAATGGAATCATAATGGAAATATAATATTTTTGTAATAAAATTGCATTTTTACAATTTTTACAATAATTTTATTATTCAATTATTATTTTTGTTAATAACCATCAAGTAATGAAATAATAGAATGAATGTAATATATATATGGATAGAAATAATCTTACTTTTATGCAGCACAGATTTTTTGTTGCAATGGCATTTTCTGTGTCATATTTATTTTGTCACCCATACTTAAAGCCATACCCTAAAAAGGAAAAGAAATATATTGTTATTGATGTTTTTATCTATTAACTAGTTGGTTTGGTATTTAGCCTTGAGGCAAGTTACATAAACTTCCCGATATGTTTAAATAATCGACTTAATCAATAAAAAATAAATTAATTTATGAGTGATTAAAATCTGATTGGATTTATTACACATAATTGAAAACGAACAAACACTTTGACTCGGAGTATTTTCTAAAAGCAAATTTTATATAATTGAACCAGTTTCCAGGACTTTAATGGTTTATTATCTTCAAGACCAAGTACTCTATTATTATACCAAGTAAATAGTCTAATTTTAATTTTAACAAATCTCAAAAGAACTACTCATTTTCTCAAACTTTGATGAATTTTTAAAATCAAACTATTTGTCGTAAGGCCGTAATATTTCAGTAAGTTCTATATGACCATGGTACCATATATCACTAAAAAAAAATCCATAAAAATCGTCTTAATTTTTTTTTCAACAGTTAATTACAAGAAAACGGCTCGGTAGATTTTCACCTAAAACTAATCAGTATCATTCCCAACTAATATCTTTCGAACAGTTTTTGATTTTTTAAAATCGGTTCAGTAGTACGAGCTTAAATGTAGACGAAAAGTTTAACACTTTTTTTCAAATTAGAAAGAAACGGCTCGGTAGATCGTCTCACTAAACTGGAAAACTTTAGTCCTCATTGAGATACATCAAATGGCTTTTAAATTTCTGAAATCGGTTCAGGCGTTTTTGAGAAAACGTCGATCAAAGGTCTAATTTTGACAAATGTCAAAAAAACGATACCAATTTTTGCAAACTTTGACAAATTTTTAAAGCTAAACGAGTTGTCGTAGGGCCGTAATATTTTAGTATGACCTAGAAAACTATGGTATCTACCGTCAAAAAAAAATCATAAAAATCGTCGAAATTTTTTTTTTAAAAACTTTATTACAAGAAAACGGCCCGGCCGATCTTTACCAAAAACTAATCAGCACGATTCCCAACCAATATCTATCGAATGGTTTTTGAATTTTCAGAATCGATTCAGATTGCGGGCTAAAACGTGGACGAAAAAATTTTCACTTTTCTGCAATTTACAAAGAAACGGCCTGGCCGATCGCCGCACAAAACTCAGAAACGATAGTCCTCATCGAGATACATCGAATGGCTTTTAAATTTTTGAAATCGGTCCAGCCGTTTTGGAGAAAACGTCGATTTACGGCAAAAAATCTGTTCACACACACACACATACATACTTTTTCCAAATTTGGTCTCATTCGATTCAGAATGGCTTGAAACGTCGAGAAAACATAAAATTAGCGAATCGGATTTTTTGATGAAAACATAAACTTCTCCTTCGGGAAGTTAAAAATAAAATATTGTACTAACTTGACTTTTAGCACGGATACGAATGTGTCCAATAACTGGTGCATCAGGTTTGTTGAAAGGCTTCTCGATACTAAGATTTGCCAAAGCGTCTTCACCAAATATCGATCGAGCATACATATTTGCAGCCATGAAACCACATTGACCAGACAACGCCTAAAAAATAGAAAAAAAACATAAAATAAACAATATGGATCAGTATGTCATTTATTACCTTTTCCGGTGTCAAGCACTTCATATTAGTGCTCTGAATCAAATGCCTCAAATACTCGTGCAAGTCTGTTAAATTCGTATTAACCGAAACTTTGTTCTCCCATTCGAACTCTGCCCACATAGTTCTAAATTCGACATCGTTGCATGATGCTGGCACGATATAATCCATTATATCGATATGAATATCGTTTAATACGACTACGTTGCGATCGGATGCTGCACCAGTCACATCGTAAACTAGAAAAAAATAAATAAAAAAATCAGAATGCATATTGCAAAGAATTTGAGAGTCCCTTACTACTTTTCCCCTTACCTATGTTTCCAAATATAATTCCGTTTTCGGTGGAAGCAACTTTAACGTTGGCTTTTATGTTGCAGAAGTCATGCGGAGCCAAAACCACCGGTTGTGGTTTTTCTACAAGTTTCAGGTCACCTAAAGTTGCTAATTCGAGGGTGCAATTTTGCAAAGTGTCTCCTGTAAATAAAATAAATAATAAGGTAACTAGTGGTGTATGGCATCGTGCCTTAAGGCAAATTGCTAGAACGTTCCGCACCGTAATAAAATGTTCGAGAAATATTAAATGTTTTCCAATAGAGTATTATGAATACTGTAACATTGTGTAATATTTATAAGATTAATATAAACTGAATTGCAAAATTAAAATTATTTATTTAGAGTATATAAGTGAGCTTTTAACAAATTTTTCGAAAGCTTTGGAAAAATTAGATTTTTGAGAATTAAAGAAAAGCAAATAATATTTTTAGTATCAACTTTTTATCAGTTAAAAACAGTCAAAATATACAAAACATACTCCAATTTTTTAACTCTCCAATAAAAAGAGATTATTAATCTAAAATAATTTAGCATTCGAATGAACTATAGAAAAGTTATAAAAAAAAAATCCATAAAATAGCGACTGTCTGGATTTTTTTTTTATTTGATGTTTTAAATTTTTTAAAAATAGTAAAAATCAAATTTTGGGGATGAGCTTAATTCAGACTTATAAGAAGTTTTTAGAGAAGATTCTGTAAAAATTTCAAGTAAATCGGTGCAGTAGAAGTCGAGAAATCGTGGGTATCGTATCGTATTGAAAAATACAGTTTCGAGAAAAACGCCTTTAAAGAAGCATTTTGGTGCTCAAACAGCTACATCTCTCAAAATTATATAAAATTTGAAAAATACACACATTTTTGAATAGTTAACACGTTCGCGGACAGCAGAAGGTCAATCGAGGTACAAAAATTTACACTGAATTTATTTTTAAATTGGTTGTGATTTCCGAAGTTTGACTAAACACTGTTTATAAAGGGATTTAGATTATCGAATTTGAATCGTTATACACAATAAATGCTATAGCATCCACGCTAAATATTACGGTTCTATTTTACGCTAATTAGTGACTACGGACAAAAATAAGAAAATACCTAAAAAATCCATCAGTAATTATAATAAGAGGTAAATTAATTATAAAAATGTATGTTTATATAAAATTAAACTCTAAATAATTGACTTTAAAATTGAATGCTATAACATCCACGTCATTCCCACTAGAACAGTTACGTACTATTGCGTAATTGTAGTGTAAGAAATATTAAACCTACATTACGTAACTATAACTACCTGAAAATTACGTAAAAAATGTGAATTATATAAAAAAAATCTAAATAATTGACTTTGAAGCTGGAATGCTTTCATAAAAAATGTGAATCTTATATTATACAAGTTACATAAATATCGAAATTTTTCAAAAATTGTCATTTTTTTAAAAAATCCATTATTTTTAATTTTTTTAAATTTTCTAACACAATTTTTTTAAAAATTAGACATTTTTAAAATTTTTAATAATTCCATTATTTTTCATAGATATTATTTCTAATTTATATAATTTTTTGAAAATGATTTTTGTATAATTCTGCATTACAATGAAAATGAATGCTATAGCATTCACGTACGCAAAGGTGATAAACTTTGAAAACATGAATAAAACTAGTGGTGCATAGCATCGTGCCTTAAGGCAAATTGCTGTAACTTTTTGTACCAACAATTAAGATTTTTAAAAAAAAACTTTGAAAAAAATAGATTTTTGAAAAAATTAGATATTTTTATAATTCAATTTTTTTTAAATACTCTGAATTTTTTTTAAAAGCAATCGTGCTGCATAGTTGTCTTAAAGACAAAAAAATATCGAATTTTTCAAATTTGTATCCACACACCCTCACACACTTTTTTTTAAAGTATGCCAAAATGTTTAGAAACTTCTGAAGCGTAAAAATATATATAAAATGTCATTTTCGATTTTTTGCGATTGCCATAACTTAGGAGGCGTTCTTAATCAGGTTTTTAGGGGTAGGAAAATGATTTGACAAAAAATCACGAAATATCCCGTGGAGGAGGGGTATAGTAAGATATAACGTGTATTTATTTTTTACCTAATTTTTCTTAAAAAAGTTAAAATATTTCCAAAGAAAATCAAAAATTTTACAATTTTTTCTGGTAACTAAAAATATACGTGATGTTTGGTAGGGTAAGAGATGTAATTTTGAATATCACTAAGTATCACCAAAGGGAGGGTCCAAAAATCTTAAAAAAAATCAATCACGCGATTAATCAAAGGACGTTAAAAATTGAATTCTTAAATCTTGGACAAGAATACCCTTCAAATTTATTTTGTATCTATATTATATATATATATATATATATATATATATATATATATATCGTACCTGTTTGGTTAACAATCAGAACATCGAGTACAATATCATACTGATTGACATGAACATAAGCCTCAGCATAAACAGGATCAGAAAAACCGGTTAATTGTGTAACTTTATTCAATTTGCTGGTTGCACCAGCTGCTTCGGCAGCAGCACTGGCTGGTTTGGTACCAGCAAGGGCCTTGAAGACAAAAAAAACTTATAAGCAAACTTTGTGCATAAATAGATAATTAATTAATTAGTACCTGGGATAAGGATAACTCAAAGACATTTTCAGTTCCTAAGTCACCAGCATTTTTGCCGGAGAGCTGAAGGAATGATATGGCTTGGTCCACTTGGACGGCTGTGCTCAACTTTTCTTTAGTCTAAAATATAATATAATAAAAAATATTAAATATACAATTAATAATATAAAATGACTGTAAAATAATTTACTATCATAAAACAGCCAAAATATTTCCATGC